ACAACATAAACTGATGAACAAAAATAGATCCAGAGACAGAGAAGCATCGAATAGACCATCCAACTTCAGAGGGAAGCAGGGGAAAATGGGGGGAAGAGATCAACCAAAGGACTTGTATGCATGCATATAAGCATAACCCATGGACACAGACAGTAGGGGGTTGGGGGTGGGAACAGCCAGGGAGAGGTCAATGGGGGAAAAAGGAGGCATATGTAATACTTTAAACAATAAAGAATTTAAATTAAAAAAAAGAAAAGCATGCTCAGATGAATTGCAAAAAAAAAAATATTAACTTTTGTTTAAAAACATGGTTCAAACCTTAAGGTTTAAAATTTTAAAAAATGGCTTTCACAAAAAAAAGGAGACTTGTTGAAGGATTCGCTCAGTGTAAAACTCAATCACCCTTGTCCCCTGTGCTAAAGATTGTACTTGTGTTCTAAGAAATGAACTAATCATGCTACAATATGGTGCATCGCGTAATTTCAATAGTTCAACCATTAAATTCAGTTGAAACAGGCCAAGCCTGGAAATTATTGTGAAAGAAATAAAAAGATGGCAGGAAATGACAGATTTATGATGGTATGGCCATTCTGTCCAGATTTTCTTAGAGTAGATGTATTAGGAAAAGAAATCTTAGATATAAAATAAATAGCAACTCTTGAGTAATATTTTAGTCTGAATAAAAATTCTGCTGCAATACTCTCCCCATAATTTGATATTCATTTTTTATTTTCTAAATGATTTTTAAAAAAATTTTAGAGAGAGACATTGATTTGTTGTTACACTTATTTATGCATTCATTGCTTGATTCTTCTATGTGCCCTGACCAGAAATCGAACCTGCAATGTTGTTGTATCCAGACAACTCTCTAACCAACTGAACTACCTGGCCATGGCCCTAGATGATTCTTAAACAAGCCTCACATTATGCCACCTCATTCTTTACTTCCTTCTTCTATATCATCAACTCTTCCTCACTGCCCACCCAGATCTGTCCATCTTCTATAAACTAGCTCAAGTTCTACCTCCTCCTTGAAGCTCTGTAGACTAATTCAGTCCCCAAGGTTCTCAGTCTCTAACTTTACTGCCATGAATCTACTGGTAAGTCATAATGTCTTGCCTTTCTCCTGACAATTCTACTATTCAGAATTTGGTATAAATGCTTATGTATCCAATCTTCTAGTTGACTCTTGGGGTCTTGCAAACTGGAAGCATCTGTTTTTTAATTCACTGAAAGCAGTAGCTTTTAGATTTTTTTGGAACATGATGCATAATAAGATATACATTTTTGCATCATGGTCTAGTGTGTTCATACATATAAATATATATTTAATTTAAACGTTCAATGAACTTTATCCTTCTATTCTGTTTTACTTTATTTTTTAAAACCTTTTTTTATTTTTTATATATTTTTTAATTGATTTTTTACAGAGAGGAAAGGAGAGAGATAGAGAGTCAGAAACATCGATGAGAGAGAAACATCGATCAGCTGCCTCCTGCACATCTCCCACTGGGGACGTGCCCGCAACCTAGGTACATGCCCTTGACCGGAATCGAACCTGGGACCTTTCAGTCCGCAGGCCGACGCTCTATTCACTGAGCCAAACCGGTTTCGGCTACTTTATGTTTTGAAAATAAAATGCTATCATACACAGTAAACTGACTTCACAATGGGTTGTGACTACTTCTAGAAGGGCACTTATTGATTACTATGGGAGCACTGTATATGTTTCCCTCACTTAAAAAAAATAACTTTAAATTGCATGTGGCCTTTGGGCTTTCTTTTGCCTGTGTTCCCAAGTTACATTTTTGTTCATTCAGTTTCTCTTTTGGAATCATTTGGGACAGTGAAATGCTTGGAACATACAATACTTTTTTATTCTTTTGTCCTGAGCACTGTTGTTATAAAAATAAGATTCCCTGGATTTCTATAAAACTCACTTCTATAAAAATCAAAGCTCCATTCTCTCATTCTTTTTCATTTTCACAGTATGCCAAGTAGGTAGTAGACATTTTATAGATGAAGAAATTGAGGCAGAGAAAATTGTGATTTTCTTAAGGACACATCTCCCTTTTAATCAGACTTTTATAAATTAAGGTAAATATAGTTTCTAGATATTTGAAGCATATAAACTTGGGTAACGTGAACAACAGAGAGCCTTGATATGAATGCATTTACCTGGCTTCTCCAGATCAAATGATGGACTGAACAGATGAGTTAGCGGCTCTTCTGGACTTCACCCTGAAGATGATGTGCTCCCTTCTCTATCTGCATCTTCCCGTCTTTACCTTCTCACAGCTTTTCAACTACCTAGAGAAGCGGTTCTCAACCTGTGGGTCGCGACCCCTTTGGTGGTCGAACGACCCTTTCACAGGGGTCACCTAAGACCATCCTGCATATCAGATATTTACATTATGATTCATAACAGTAGCAATATTACAGTTATGAAGTAGCAATGAAAATAATTTTATGGTTGGGTCACAACATGAGGAACTATATTTAAAGGGCCAGAAGGTTGAGAACCACTGACCTAGAGCTACCTGTGCTTCCTGGGGGTCTGCATATTGGGTCACTGTACCAGGACTGCCCTTCTTCCTCCTCTTTACCAGACGAGTTCCTCTTATTCTTCAGGTCCTTGGGAACTGTCCTTGTCCTCTCCACCTCCACAACCTGCTCTCAAGCACCCTGTGCTCGCCTTGACATAGCACTTAACTCGCTTTACCCCCTCTCTCCCAAGGCTTGCTGGCTGAGACTGTGTCTCGTTCACTCTTCAATCCCACAATTCAGGACCCTGTTTAGTTCAGGAGAAATGTACGCTGAATGCATGACTGAATCAATGAATGAGCATATAAAGGGTAGAAACAGCGGCCACTGAACGAGCTCAAGTGTGAGCTGGGACTGGAATTGCATGTCTGGACTCTCTGAGGCCAATCTTTTTATGACTTTGTGATTCCATGAACGATATTCCCGATAAGCTGCAGTTTTTATGACTGAAAATCCATACAGTGAAGGAAAGCTGTATCTAATATATTCTTTCATGTATATTTGAGGCACAATCAAAGAAATGTTGCAGGGACAAATAATTAAGTGTAATGGGTAAGTATATTGAGGCAATGAAAAAATACCCAAGTTTTAAAAACAGCGAGTTGGAACCCACCTGACCTCCGGCACAGATTGATCTGATTCATATCTTGCTTCAATCCTCCACTTCAATCCTCCATAGGAGGCTATGCACCTCGCATTTCTGTCCTTGTCATTTTCATGAAAGGCTAGTTAGTGATTAGGTAAAGCCTCACCGCACCACAACACACTCTACATGGGTCTCTACGACTTCCTCCGCAATGTTTCCAAAATAAATTCCAATGAAATAACATCTAGACTTGCAATGGCACTTACTACTTATTTTTCCGTTTATGAATCAACAACCTATTCCCCCTACTAAAAACCCACAAACCCTGAAAAAAATATTCTTCATGATTCTACTTCAAAAGAACATTCTATAATACAAACTATTGCCATTCGCAGATAGCAACAGAAAATATTTTTTGCCTGTATGCTGTGACTCATGAATCTTTATTCCCACAGTTGTTACTCAGGGCAGGCCAATGGTGAACACAATGGGAAAGAAACAATAGTTTATAACTGGAAAATAAGCACATTGGGAGAAGTACACTCAAATCATTATCACAGTAAAATATGCAGCAGCACCAACAAGAGCAAACAAAAGCCCACGTAAGAGATGTGTAAATATTTCATGAAGCTAAGCCTTAATCAACTCTCTCTCTCCAAATCTTGCTGGTGTTGTAAACACTTCAGTTACTTCCAGTCCCACCATGACCCAGATTCCTTGCAAAAACAAAATGCAAACATGGACCAATGGGTCTTTAATGTCTTGTGAAAAATTTTCAGATGGACCATATCCAAGGTATTGATTTAATACAAAGAAAGAGATGCCTTGATAAATGGTGGTTGCTTCTAGGTGACTCTCAGAGCTTTGGTTCTCCCCTCCTCCTCCAAACCCTTGCCCTTTCCCCACCGCCTCTGCTGCTTGCTGGACATTCACATCATCTTAACCTTGAACTGCCTACGTTCGGAGCAGAGATTTCTCCGAGTGCCCCTCCAGAAGGCCCATTAAACCTGCCAGGGACTTGCTGCCTTCCCACCACCCCAAATTCACTTTGCAGTGTCTAAGTACCCTCTTTCCCCGCTCCCCTTTCACTGCCCATTATTGAGTCTGAAATTTGCCTGTATCTTTCAGATTTGCCTGGATAACATGAAGATGTGTTGTGTGTACTGTTGACAGTTGTTCTTTAGCTCTTTTCTAAAATCCATCTCCAAAGAGCCATTTATAGCCTCTAGTCTCTACCCTGATTTAATCTGGTTCCAAAGTTCACCTCTAGACACTGAACAGGTCTCTACAGTGATTTCCCTTTATCAACCTCTGCCCGCCCTTCTTCTTCTCTCTCAGCCTATCTCAAGAAAGACAATATATATGTAAAGGTGTCTGTATACACACACATAAACGCATATATTTTATGTACAACAACAGTGTTTTGACCTTAAAGAGAATAAGCACAGGAAAATAAGAAACATGCCAGTGTAGTATTCACACACACACACACACACACACACACACACACACACACCCCACACCTACCTATTGGGATATTCACAGTGTGCAGACCCATTGCTTATAAATCCCCTCTCCCAAGAACAAGAACTGCAGCGTCTTTTCCCATTTACCTTCAGAGACAGAGCCTAAGGGAGCAATGACCTTGCAGAGAAATTCATCACCTGGGAGAAAGACAGACCCTCCCGGAGCGCAGAATGGGATGGGGACGAGAGCAACAGGCAAAAGATCACCAGGGCAATGTGGGCCCGGATCAATCCCCCATCAGTGCCAAGCACACCTCCGCTCCGGTCCCCCGGGGTTGGGCACTGGGCAGAGGGGGTGCAGGGTGGGGGGCGTCTTCTCCCGCGGCCCGGGGTCGGTCGTCTACCTGCCTCTCGCCTGGCTCTTCTCAGCGCGGCTGGCCCACTGCCTCGGCTGTGGTGGGGGCTCCCGTCGCATATCCCAAGCAGCGGCTCTCGGCGCCACGGGGATGGCTCCCGTGTGCTCGGAGCGGCGGTGCTTCTGAGACCTGTTCCGGGAGCGGAGCGAGCAGGGTGCTTGCAGGAACTGAAATTACTATGCAAAGAGCAGAGGCGGCGGGAAG